TATATATAAAATCCATCCATCTATACCGCTTATCTTCGGATCACATACTCACCGATAAAGCCCTTCACAATTATGCCCCCTCCTAGCTCTCCACCCATCCACTCTTTCCCGCACCCTCCACTCCTCAAATGCAAACCTCCTTGCCATCCCCATGACGACAAACCTGGGAGACTATGCCTTTTCTGTCGCCCCCACCCCACCCTCTGGAATTCTCTACCTCTACATCCGCAATTGTACTGGCCTCCAATTCTTCAAATAATTTCTCAAAACTCAGCTGTTCTGTGACATTTTCAACATCTTTTAATCTTTGCTATTATTTCTTGCTTTGTTTTGCTTTTGCTTGACCTTGAAAACTGTAAATTTGGCCAAAAACTGTACATTTTTCTCCTGTATCTCTTAATTCTTCTAGTACAGTGTCTGAGTACTATGAAGTGTTTTCAAATAAAATGTATTTTGATTATTATTATTATCATTATTTTTTTATGTATGGTAATTCGTATTCCATTGGGCTTTTTGAGTAGCAGACTGGTGATCCTACTTTTTAAGAACCATGTGGCCACCTGTGTGGCTCCACGAGTATAGGGTGCTTGACTGACGCTGTCGAATCGAAACCGACATAGCTGGGTGATATGATGATACAGTTCATGAAAACCTTAAAAAGTATTCCATCGTGTTATTTTTGTACTTTTGCGGTTTCTCATCCGCAGCAAACTACATGTATTAGATCATTAGAGGAAGCTTGATTTAGTGTGTCATAGTTTTCACTTCGGTTTCCTGTGCCCCACAGCTGCCACCAGGTGGCAGGTCGTACAATAAGACAAGTGAATCATGCGTGCACACGCGTGCGCGCACACACACACACACACACACACACACACACACACACACACACACACACACACACACACACACACACGAAAAAATATTTGCCCCCTTCCTGATTACTGTGTAATGAGTAATCTAATTGTTGTTGCAACGTCATTTCCGTCACTGATGATGCAATGTGCCATGTTACAAGGAAGCGCTGCAACGTCAGCATTTTAGAAGTATTTCGGTATTTAATAGGGTTTTCCAGTTAATGGTTAACAATATCATCACCATTAAAACACGTTTAAAAATCAGTTACATCACTGGCAGGTTGTTGTTTGGTGATGTAAAATGGAATGTATGTTTCCAGAATCTGGCTCAACACATTCGTGGTGAAGGGGACAAACCAAAAGCAAAAAGCAGTGTTAAGAATCGTTCGTAGTTTCCTGATGTATGTGTATTGCAAAATTCAGCCGACAGGAACAGCTTCATTGGAAGGGAATAAGCTGACGGCCTCCATGGAGGGTGTGGGGTGGGTGATCAACACTCAGACTCGTGTGTTGACCGAACTCAACTGCAAAATGGATGTGTTGGAGTCGCTTTGCAAAATCAAAAAGACTGGGGAGTAGTTGGACCGACCTGGAAAATTGATTGACAAGATTTCGGCACACTGACGCCACGGAGAGTCACATGCTAAAAGACATTCAAGGCTGTCTGAAATTGTAGGCGGCATGTTCCCAAAGTAATTGTTGTCTGGACTTTCCCTTGGATGGAAAAACACACTGACGCGAGTATTCCTATCTCCTACTTCCGAGACTACTCCTCGAGCCTGTGACTGATAAGGTCTTGGCCTTGCAGGCGCAATGTCAACTGCTGGATTCCTATTCACTCCACCTCTCTCCCGCGGCACAGCTGGAGAGACTTGAGCACACCTATTGTGTGCAGCCCATTTCACAGATTGACGCCCCCTCCACCCCCCTCCCCCCACGCCCCAATACAGTTTGCTGTTGCCAATATCACTGCAACCTAAGGTAGGTGCACCCTAACTCGAATAGCTTTGGATAAATTGATACACTTGAGAGACATTGATTTATTTGTCTTTGACAACTCACTAGAAGGGTGACACTGAGTAGCTGCACTTAGGGTGGACATATGAGCTTTTACTTTGAAGTGGAACCTCGGAAGCTGATTCGACTTCGAATTGAGGCTTGCCTGATTGAGCTGCAATATGCTTAGTACATAAATGCGCAAAGACAAGCTTGATCTTGTGTGCAATTTCATGTTTCCAGTGCGTATGAGCACCTGCGCACTTCTTATGTGCACCCCTGGTTATACTGTAGGTCAGATTAATGGTGAAAAGGTTTTCAAATTAACTTGGTCTATTGTTTTTCCCTCATACCATGCCAATGAATAGGGGAGTTAATATTTTTCTTATATCTACTGTATATCTAAATCGACATGCTGCATGTTTTGTCGCCAAAACATCTGACAAAGTAAAATATTATTTCCACTAAAAATCAAAATCCAAGGTCCAATTAAAAATAAATGTATGTGAAGCTCTGTGTTGAGAAAAACATTCTGGTTAACACAATGTCTGCAAACATTCGGCAATTACTTGATTTGTTTTTTCCCAAGTGAAGGGGAATAGGACGAAACAACAGTCAGATTACAGTACCTCATAATATCCATCAATGAAGACTGTGACCATCTGTGGGTTAACACCATGAGCTGAAAGAAGCGACCTGAGCATCCTAAAAACAGATGGCGAACAGTTGCATTAAAATAGGCAGAAATGAGGCTAATTGTGTATTACTATCACTGATTATAAAATGTAACTTTTTCCAATAATAACTAGACAGTCTGATTATGTTGACCAAATTTCTTGCCCATTTTAAAACCTGAGCTCTTACCGATAGAGATAGTTAGGTCTGTTCCCTGCAATGACAGCTACAGGCACATTGAAGACGCTATTATTCGGCAGCTACAAGGAAGAAAATGGAATTAATGTTCCAGGGTGTCTGAGTTTGACAAGTATATAACAAGAAAATCTAGGATTTGTATTTTAAATAATCCACCAATAGTGTTCAAAGTTTAATGGAACTGTGCACTCCAAACAAACTGGCCTCTGCCTAATTTGTAGCCGTACAGGATTATGTCGGTCATCCTTTGATCCTACTCCTCAAAGACCCAAAGTAAAATGCACAGGGCTAACATTTTGGTGAGCACATACCAATCATCTTCTCTACTTAGCTGGGTTAGGCAACACAGAGGACTAATTTTAGCGTAATTTTTAGACCACAAAAAATGCACTTCCCAATACTGCACGCAAATAAGATTGTCTTATATATCAAGACTGCTTTTCTTGTTTGGTTTTGTTTCAATTAAAGATGTTTTTTTTTTCCTCCCTAATTTTCAGAGTGTCAAAAGCCAATTGATCTTATCTCAGCAATTCTCAGCAATAATAAATAAGAAACAGAGTGCTCTACCAGAGAAGTGATCAGGGTTCAGTTACTTCAGCAGGGACAGAGTTTTGGAGCATTCACTTCGGGATGAAAAATCCTGACTGAGTTCAAGCAGTGTGGTTGATGAATTTAAATTTGTCAACGGCCTATGCCTAAAAATATAGAGAAACAGGCTTCCTACACATTTAAGATTTAAAATTCCATACTTTTTCCAGACCCTAATTTCCAGATTTTCAAGGTCAAGGTTAATGCCCAATGAAGTTGTCATGATCCTGTTTTGTGTGTCTCCAGCAGGCGGCAGATTAGAGCCATCCCTCCAGTGTGCAAATTTCATATTTTTCATACTTGCGTAGGAACCCTGTAGAAATTAACTGAATCTATTTTTTTATTGTGTCTTACAGGTTCTGGGTTGAATTCAATGGGTGCTGGATCTTTGCAGCTGCAGATGCTGCCATATCCTTCCACTTTGCTGCAGAACACTTTCCTGCGCCTGTTCCACTCTGTGTCTGCCCAGTGGCACTCTGCCTCTGAAAGGACAATCACATTAATTAAATTAACATTAATAAACAAATTGAATGAAACTTGGGACCTTCTCTGCCTTCTGAATTTGAATAATATTATAATGAGCAAAGACTATTTCTTCTTAATATTTATGACCAGTGGCGACTAGTAGAATTTTTGCCGGGCACTATCAACAAATGAACACAGACAGACTTTCCTATTTATGATTGTATTATTGCCCAAAGTGAGCTGGGATAGACTCCAGCACACCTGCGGCCCTCCCTAGGATAACCTGAATAGAGAATGAATGGATGGATGGCTGGGTGGATGATTGTTATTGTTTTAATTGTTGTTTTACCTTTATGTACAGCACTTTTTTTACCCCTGCCGTTGTAGTTAAATTGCAATATGATATTGCAATATGCCACCCCTAGTGGCAATTAATCTATAAATACTAAATTCAATGTCTATAAAATGTTCCTTTTATTGTTTTCAAAGTGTAAAAATTGTGAAGAATGCACTCCCACGTTGATTCCCCCCCTTCATTTCAAGAAGAAATACTTACGATGTAAGGCCCCCCCGCACCGCTCAGAAAATGTTTAAAAGTAAAAATAAATAAATAAATAACAGTCCTTAATGATACTTTTTGACATTTTAAATAATTTGAGTTACCTTCAGAGGCAGTGAGTTGCACTTCTGTTTTAAGAAGAACCGGATCACCCCAGGTGGAAAGAGCAGGAGATTTTGAATGTTTTTCACCATATAATTGTCCTAGAAATCCAAATATGCAGCTTGTCAGTCAAGACAAAAAAACAAAAATAAAAATTTACAAGACTTGAAACGAGTTTCACTTTCAGTGCATTCATGAAATGTGACCATTTTGAACAGGAATTAAGAAATTCTAAAGCTGAAATCATTGTTTTATACCCAAGACAGACATTATTAGAGCATAGTATTTAAACACGTTTTTTTCCATTCAAAGGGTTCCGACAGGGTTTTACAAGTCAAAGACTTTTTAAGACCCATTTAAGACCTTGACAAAAAAAAAAAAAAAAAAAAAAAAAACCTTCACTATTTCACAGCCATATCTGCAAAAAAAAAAAAAAAAAAAAAAAAAATCACAGCAAGAGAGCAAAAGCAAAATATGCAGCCTCTAACTTTGGATCAGGCTTGTCTGCACTTGAAATAAACTTTAAATAATTCATAAACTCTCCAGCAGATGGCAGCAGGTGGAAGGGATCAGCCAAGATCATGCTGCAGAAGTCGATGGGAGGATGCATGGGCGGAGTTATGCAGTAGCATGAAATCAGGTGGAGTACCGTGGTCTTAGAAGAGAGTGCATTTGAACCAGTATCGATGGAGAAATCAAAACAATTAACACATGAGGATTTCTTAGGGGGAGGAAAATCATCCACCATGACAGGGGAGATGGAGTTGCTGAAAGCGGCACGACGCTTTTGTCCGCGCAAAAGAAGCAGCCATCAAAAGAGGCTCTGTGTGCACAAACATCGTCTGCCTCATGCAAAAGCCACAACGCAGCGAAGGTCTCTTTTTTTTTTTTTTTGTAGGCTGCAGGCTGATATCGCAATAGAACACAACAATATGTGGGCCTCGCAAATCAGTCAAAATCCAGTATAACGGCTGGGATTGAGGGGCTTGCTCCAGTGAAAATGGGTGGGATCCAATGAGTTAAAACACAAAATTTGAGTTTTCACAAAATTTGGTTGCTGTGGCACGACAAAGCTCACTAATAAAACAACACTGACTTGACTGGGGATGTGTTGGTGATGGATTGATTATTTTTAGTTATCATACATTCGCTTATTATTAATGTTATTATTGTTATTTTGATATTGATTCATTATGCTCGCAAAGAAGAAAGCTTATGCCTGCAATGATAAACTGATTATGCTTGCAAAGATGAACGCTTATGCCTGCAATCATTAATTGACTATGCCTGCAATGAAGAACGCTTATGCTTCTAATAAAGATGTATTAATCATTATGTACTCACATTTATAATCCTTTGTATTATATTCATATACTCACATTTATAATCAAGAATGCTTAGTGCACTGTGCGGAAGTTTAGGGACGCAACCACCTTTCCGAGGACGTGGTTGGGAAGAGATAAGTGTTAAGACTAAACAGGAGCAAGGTTGGACAGTGAATGGAGCCATCAACACCAGCTGGAACGTGATGTTTTTGGAACAATTGCACACATGTACGTCATTTACACTCACATACACACACATAGTCAAACAAGTTCAGTGTGTCTTCAACAGCTCCCACCCTTTAGGTTGGACACACCTATGTAGTAGATTTCCCAATAAATAAGGGGGTGAAGGGGGAGATCGTTAGGGGTGACGTGCCGAGAACTAAAACCGAACGCTTCTCCTCGTTCCCTCCTGGTACCAGAATTGAGTCTCCTGTCTCCTCCTTGTGTTTTATTCCTGAGTGTCAAATTGGATAAACCTGACAGTTGGCACAGTGCTCGACTGATTAGCAAGTCTGCCTCACGTTGTAGAGATCCGGGGTTCGATTCCGGGCTTTCCTGTGTGGAGTTTGCAAGTTCTCCCCATGCCTGAGTGGGTTTGCAATGTTGTAGGACAGCCCAACAACATCCAGAGATTTGAGGAACTCCGGGTGAATCTCATACAACCGTGGGGCTTTTCCACTGAGGAACTTTTTTTTTTTTAACCACCTCCATGATTTCAACCCCAGGAGGCGGGAGTTGAAACTCTTTCTGACAAGGGATTCTACCAGACGTTCCCACCAAAACCTCACAGTACGTTCGTGTCTGCCAGGTCAGACCGGCATCTTCCTGCACCATCTGAGCAAACTCACCACCATATGGTAATCAGTTGACTGCTCTGCCCCTCTCTCCACCCGAGAGTCCAAAACATGTGGCCGCAAATCTGATGAAACGACCACAGAGTCAATCATCAAACTGCGGCCAAGGAAATCCTGGTACCAAGTGCACATAGAGACACCCTGATGTCTGAACATGGTGTTCATCTTGGACAATCCATGACAAGCACACAAGTCCAATATCTCAGGTTCTGATCGAGGGAGGCCATTCCTCCCAATCACACCCTTCCAGGTCGCACTGCCATTGCCCAAAAGCTGAAATAATAACTAACAAATATTTTGGTGTTATTTGGTAATATTCAGCTAATATTTCATTGCTTTTTACTAATGCTCTAAGTTTTAGATTTAGTTTTAGATTCTTTAGTTTTAGCCATGGTACTTCCCTTTTTTTTTCTTCTTTTAAAGTTTTGTATAAAATAACTGACCTGTTTTGTCAACCATTGGTTGTTGCACACAAAATGGTTGTTACAGTAAAATATTTTGCAAATGTACATTCAGTCACTGTCAAGCCTTACATCATACAAAACAAAGGAATGACAAGAAGTACACATCAGCAACTATGGTCATGCTGTAACGCCCCACAAAAGGGTGCGATCAAATCTGTGCTGGTTCGACCAATGCAAAAGTGACTCTAGAGGGGTGTTCACACGGCACACATTTGCTCTGCATATATTTTACACCGGAGCAAATGTTGTGGAGTGGTCACACGTACAAAGCCGCTGAGCGTGTTAGCACCGGCGCAGCGTCGGTGCAGCCCCAGTTGGGTTCACACGGCAATTTCTGCAGCGGAGCAAAATGATAGAAAACAAAGAGCTCTCGTGTTGGTTCTTTTTAAAACATACACAACTCAAGCAAGTACTGTACAGCCTTCTGCTCGAGAGTGACCACCCCCGAAAACGTAAATCAACGATGACTTCAATGACACTCAGAAAAGCAAACATATAATGCGCCAAACAGAAAATCAAGAGAGGAAATCACAAAATAAATTCTATGGGGGGCGGGTGGTTGTGAACACGCAACAAAGGAACAAACTACACAAACAACTCCGAGACAGTCCAGTCTCCTGCAAAAGGAAAGATGACGTTTGGGGACTTCCCCCCCCCCGTTCTAATTGAGATGGTATAACCCAAGAGGTGCCGCTTGCTACTATTACCAGCCATGTCTTGTGTCGTTATTAAACAAACACATGACGGAAGTACAACAGAGCACGAAAGCAGCGCATTCTGGCCGTATGTAATCTCTTCTCATGAGTAGCGAGGCTACTCCCCCGCCCACCGCAAACGAACATTTGCTCCGGAGCAAATTGTAGAGTTCACACGTGCAAATTTACATCGGTGCTGCCCCGCAAACGAGCATTTGCTCCGGAGCAAATATTTAAACCACCTCCCTGAGGTAGGTTAAATTTGCTCCGGAGTAAGCTGTTTTCCGGGGCTACACCAGTGTAAATTTGCACGTGTGAACGCTCAACTGGGGCAGCGCTGGCGCAGCACCGGAGCAAATTTTGCCATGTGAACACCCCTTAGGTCCCAGCTACTGCAAGTGAGGAATGGTACCCAATGGTCAATTTTGCATGCAAATGGTGAAAAAAAATCTGTTCATGTAAACCCTGGATAGGAATGATCACATTGTTTCCATTTTATGCATTTTTCATTGTTGTACCTCCTTTCTTCACCACAAGAGTCCACATGTCCCTCCAGCTCAGAATGAGAGACACCTGGCTACCCAGACTTTTGAGCAAGTTTTTGGCAGCATCCTTGAGATGGAACGTGCCCTCGTCCTGCACACAAATAATACATATAAAACAGTGGGTAATTAAGTAAGCTAACCTGTCCCAGCAAGGAAAAGGGTTTGTCCGTCATTTGCAGACAAGCAATTATGAACGCTACCCATGGCTCACAGCCTCTGTAAAATGCTGCAAATTGTACTGCTGGGAATGCCTATTGCTTGCAACTGACGGATTTGGTGTTTGGAGCCACACTGGATTGTTTTACTAAGGCAGCAAGAAAACGGCTGGGCACTTACAAGCTACGGTGCGTTTAAAAACGTTTGGGGACACTCGCGTAGATCTGCACCTCAGTGAACAGGCACGACATTGGTGAGTAAATGAATTTTATTTTACATTTCTTCTTGTCATTTTATTTCATTAGTATTAAATTCATGGTAACGAAATAAAATGACAAAGATACAAAAATGTATCAAATAAATCTGCTCACCTGCAATTTATAATGGCGCATTGTAATCACCTTCGTGCACGAAAGTTCGTTCAATCTCAGCTGCTCAACAT